AAGTTAAAAGTGAGTAAAGTGCAACCAGAGTGACCCTATGGGGTGACCCATACTGATTTTTCAAAATCATTATATCAAGCTGAAATTTGATATGGAGGCTGAAAACCACTGCTGGATAGCACATACATACAGCTTAGAGCTTCAGGATGTTAAAGAAGCCCACTGGTCATGGTGGTCAAGACACATGATCTGTAACTTGCTCAAAAATTTGGGACCAAATAATAGAAACTATCTAACAAACTTTTAACCATCCACAACACGGAAGTTGGTGATATTATGTTCGTCAATTCGGAAAAAATTTAGAAGCGGGCTCTGACTTATTGAGTCAGGGACTATGTCCCTGACTCGGGCTATATGGAGTCTGCACTGTAGGTTTTATCTATTAGGAGCCATTAGCAACCTCTGTGCCAAATTTCAGCTTTCTACGACAATTTTGAAATTTTGGTGCATAAGACCCCACCCACTCAGATGACCCCCACCGGGTAACCAGTTAACCGATTTCGCCCATCTTCGAACTCGATTCCTAACTTTGTCCAATATGCACATGGTAAAAATTTCAAGTCGGTAGCTTGTGTTTAAAGAGAGTTATCCTGTTTACGGACGGACGGACGGACGGACATGACGGTTCCATAAGCCCTGACTCGGGCTAAAAAGCTGTGGAAATTATTATTTTCGACTTCCATGTATGTCATGGTCAAAGTATTTTCTTGCAAAAACAATCGCCATGACTTTGATGGTATTGGTCCTGCAATGCAAATTTTTGCGACCATGACTAACATGGTTTTGGTCTTTCGATGTGTAAAAAATATGACATGAACACCATGGTTTAGGAAACTTGGTGTAAAATTTTTCTCCATGACATTCATGGTCAAAGTTCATTCCCCATTTTCGACTATAAAATGTAAATGCTTAAAAGGTTAATGGATATCAGTTTACAAAACTGGTTTGAAAACCATGACACTTTAAAGCTAAAATTTTTTTTAAAAGCTAACTAAACTAATTAACATTTCTTGCAGGTATTTCGACCTGCAAGAAATGTACGGCGCAAAAATCTAGTGTACTGTACACCGTTGTACTTCATACGGCGCGCGGCTATATGGCGCTTTTTTCTTAGTTTCTTTCATGCGTCTTTTTTTGCGAATATATATTGCCAAACCGTTTCGAATGCAAGTAACGCCTTGCAAGAAATAAGCACAAGAAAGTGGTTTATTTGGACCTGCACAAAATTATGCCCGCTGCGCATTTTCACACGGCGCGTGGCAAGATGGCGCATATTTCTTGCACCTCGCATTTCTTGCCTTTCTTGAAATGTAGCAAACCCGCAAGAAACAAAACTGTGTTTGTACATGTGTTTTTTTTTTGCGGGCCGAATTTTTAGCGGCCGGCAGGATTGTCAAGGTAAAGTCCCCTTGTGTCCCTCCGAAAAATGAGTCCCTATTTTGGTTATGTGTTGAATACCGTATAAAAACCACAAGGCTTTCCCTGCTAATGTTACGCAGAATGGCGAGTTTTTGCTGAAAAAGTTTCATTTTTGAAAAAAATTAACAACGCTAAAAATAATTGCAAGCCAATAAATAAAACATTACAATTGCAGCGCTCCTTAAGATACCAAAAGTAAAGCAAAGCAATTCTGCCACACAATTTTGAGACTAAAGAAAAAGCTCCGAAAAACTTTTTCAAAACTGCCATAAAATTTCTTCATGAATTTGGGAAAGCCGATAATTTGATGAAATACTTATCGCGTTACTTTATAATAGCAACTGACGATAATTGCATGTAGTTTTTTTAAAACCAATTTACATAAATTGCCTGAAACAAACATGACATTAATGCCAAACAATGTAAACGAGCAGCACGTATATCTAGTGTGCACAAAACAATTGTTTTTTTTACAACCAATTTATATAAATAAATTGCCTGAAAAAAAAACATGACACTGACCATGCAAAAATGCCAAACAGTTCGTGAATTTGGGAAAACCGATAATTTGATGAAATACTTATCGCGTTACTTTATAATAGCAACTGACGATAATTGCATGTTGTTTTTTTTGAAACCAATTTACATAAATTGCCTCTAAAAAGCATGCCATTGACTATGCAAAAATTCCAAACAATGTACATGAGTAACACGTGTAGTGTGCACAATATATATTTACTTATTTGTAAATAGTCAATTTGCACTACCGTTGTATCCACATTTATTTTTGCTACTCTTCAAATTCGTCAGAATTACCTATGGCTCGTGCAGGAAATCAGATCATATCAGGATTGACATGCAGTACTTAAAAGTTTGATTTACTCACAGTCGCCGCGGAAGTGTGAGGACTGTCCCCACAGTTATTCGATGCCCCCTTCATCTCCTCATGTTATATAAGCCCCTCCCTCCCCTATATATCCTGCAATATTAATTTCCCCAGATGTCCCCCCAGCTTCCGCGGCCACTGGTTACTATTCAGACTGTAAACAGACCACTTTTTTTTGTCTACGACATAAAATGCCGAATGAATCGTTAGTATCTGGACTGAATATGAGGTCTGGCAGCCCTTATTTTTTGTCCCTTGTGAGGAATGACTTGAATTTCCATCGCATCGTGCACAATATGGAGACTTATTTCATTTCATGCATTCCTGGAGAGAGGACCATCTAACCAAACAATGTCCAGGTGGAGGGCCACGCCAATAATATTTCATGGCATATTGGCCCATATGCCATGAAATGACGACGAGACAGACTTGAACCAATAATTAAACATGTAAATATGTATGTATGGATCATGTACATATCGTCGTACTAATTCAGAAAAGACCTAACAAGGGACACTCACGACCTGTCGTTTGAGTCCAGGGTACCCACTATGTTTTTCAGAATCTACTAGGACCCCAGATGAAGGATCCATTCATATTTCCGTGTAAAACTCATATTTGGCGCCATGGCGTGGCGCCAAACTTAAAAATTTGCATTTTCGACCAATTTCAAACCCCCATAACTTTTGCAGTTTATGTCGGATTTTTAAAATTTTATGCTTAAAATGATCAGAAAAGTCGAAATTTTAGAGAAAAAAATAAAAATAAAAAAATTTTAATTTTTGAGATATTTTTAGCATTTTTTCGACGAACCCGAAATTTCGAAATTTTGCGAAAAGTTAAAAGCGACAATTTTGGAAAAAATTTCATAGAATACGAAAGTTGAACTCCTTGTCATGATTTTTGCCAAAAATTTTGAAAATCCGTCCAGGATTTCAAAAGTTACGGCGGTTTTAAAATGAAAAACCATCAAATTTGGCGAATTTGGCGCCACGCCATGGCGCCAAATATGAGTTTTACACAGAAATATGAATGAATCCTTCATCTGGGGTCCTAGTAGATTCTAAAAAACATAGTGGGTACCCTGGACTCAAACGACAGGTCGTGAGTGTCCCTTGTAAGTGCAGTGGATGCTTTATTCAGAAAAGACCTAAGTGCAGTCGGTGTTTAATTCAGAAACGACCGAAGTCCAGTCGATGCTCAATTCAGAAAAGACCTAAGTGCACAGAAAAAAAACAAAAAAAACCTATGTGCAAGTATGTATTTACTTATGGCTAAATCGCGCGATATATATGAAAAATCATTTTGGCAAGATTTAGCCATAAGTAAATACATGCTTGCACATAGGTCTTTTTTGCTTTTTTTCTGTGCACTTAGGTCTTTTCTGAATTAGTACGACGATATGCATGTCATGGAAAAATGAAACGGGAACACATTTTCTAAAAAGAAAAGACATGAAGCTTGTTAGTATAAACGGGTGTAATAAAGTGGTCCAAAATTTTAGATGTTTTCAGAAATTGTGGTACAAGGGTAAATATTATGTCATGAAAATGCTATATATGCTATGAAATGGGAACAAGTCACTTTTTTAAAAAGAAAATACATGAATTTTAGTAAACGAGTATGTGGTGCAAGATGTTTCCAGAAATATTTTCAGACCGGAAGTAGCGCATTTTAACTTTTTTGCCAAATTTCAGATTTAGTGAGGTGACCAAATGAGACCACCACATGATGAGAAATTTTGACGAAATCAAGAACAAAAATGTGTCAAAATTTGGTGCAAATCGTATGAAAACGATGTCATATCGACGTCTTAATTCATTTTCAGTTTCACTAATTATCTATTTTTAAATTTCAAATTTACATAAAATCTTTCGAATCCTATCCACATAAAATATAGATACAGCTTAACAAAAGCGTATCGCATGTACATATACAGCTCAATTAGTCATTTTTGACATTTATGCCTTTGTGCGACTTCCTGAAAAGCAATAAGTACATAAATAAAAGTTTTGCATGAATGAAATATGAAAACATTTTACATAATAAACAAAAAAGTATGGATACAATTCAGAAAAAAATATCTATAAAAAAATATAATACAAAAATACGCGTAAATAAATAAGATTAAATCACAACAGCAAGAATAGAGCCAATTAGCCATGCATGCCGCATGTCTCGATAAAATCTCGTCATCTCATGTCCCACGTGCCGTCACCTCCCGAATAAAACCCAAAAAAAGGCTGTATCCTCAAGATCAAAGTTCAATGACGAAACGTGCCCGGAAAGTATTACATATTTTATTTTTAATAAAATTTTACCATGTTACTCGACGACACGCGACACACGAGTCGTAAAAAAAAATTCGACCCCGGTGCGACGATGTCAAACAGTACGATGCGATTATTCACTGGGGGACAGGCCAGGTGAAAGGAAGTCTTTAATTTAAAATTGACATGAAATTGTGGGACAATTTGCGTAGGGGTGGTTTGCAGTCGGGAAGACTTGTAGCCACTGTAATTGTGGGGGTGGCGTTATGTGGGGTGCAAATAATCCAACCTGCAAATGCGAAATTATTGGGTAAGCGAAAATTTGACACACTATTAGAAATCTAGTGTGCCAAATGGGTGTTGATAGGTAATAGCTTCCTACTGGATTGGTAATAATTTCATTGACACGATATTACTGAACGGTAATGTCCGTTAATACCGACCGTGCCGGTAGAGTCACATTTGTATGGGACTCCAGGCAGTAATGATTTACTACCAGTTTTCTAAGAGTGCATATTTTTTGCATGAATTTATTTTGTATTTATTTTTTGGTATGAATTTTGCATGAATTTTATTTTGCATTTATTTTGGGATTTTAAGATCTCGGAGCGGGTGGGCGTGGATCGGCGGGCGGGGGCAGAGGTGGAACTGGGCTTGATCTAGGATTGGGAACTGGAGGGGGTGGGGCTGGCTTGGATTTGGCCAGTTTGACGAGCATGTTGGGAGGAGATGCGGCCGCTGGTGGGGGTGCAGGAGTGGATTTGAGCGCATTACTGGGTGGTGCCAGCGGTGGAGGGGGAGTTGATCTGGCGGGATTATTGGGGGGAGGGGCTGGGGCGGGAGGAGGAGGTAGTGCTGGTCCTGGGATGGGAGGAGGGGCTGGAGCAGGTGGTGCGGGTGGTGGGCTAGATATTGGTGGTAGTGGTGCAGGGGGCAGTGCAGGTCGTGGTGGTGGAGTTGGCGCTGGGGGTGGAGCTTCAAAGGGAAATGAAGGAGGGGGAAACAATTCTGGGGGTGGAGCATCAAAGGGAAATGGAGGCAATTCTGGGGGTGGAGCTTCAAAGGGAAGTGAAGGAGGGGGAAACAATTCTGGGGGTGGAGCTTCTAAGGGAAATGAAGGAGGGGCAAGCAATTCTGGGGGTGGAGCTTCAAAGGGAAATGAAGGAAATGGACACAATTCTGGGGGCGGAGCTTCAAAGGGAAATGAAGGAGGGGGAAACAATTCTGGGGGTGGAGCTTCAAAGGGAAATGAAGGAGGGGGAAGCAATTCTGGGGGTGGAGCTTCAAAGGGAAATGAAGGAAATGGAAGCAATTCTGGGGGTGGATCTGCAAAGGGAAGTCAAGGCGGTGGGGGTAACGATGGGGGTGGATCTTCAAAGGGAAATGAAAAAGGGGGAAACAATTCTGGGGGTGGAGCTTCTAAGGGAAATGAAGGAGGGGCAAGCAATTCTGGGGGTGGAGCTTCAAAGGGAAATGAAGGAAATGGACACAATTCTGGGGGCGGAGCTTCAAAGGGAAATGAAGGAGGGGGAAACAATTCTGGGGGTGGAGCTTCAAAGGGAAATGAAGGAAATGGAAGCAATTCTGGGGGTGGATCTGCAAAGGGAAGTCAAGGCGGTGGGGGTAACGATGGGGGTGGATCTTCAAAGGGAAATGAAAAAGGGGGAAACAATTCTGGGGGTGGAGCTTCAAAGGGAAATGAAGGAGGGGGAAGCAATTCTGGGGGTGGAGCTTCAAAGGGAAATGAAGGAAATGGAAGCAATTCTGGGGGTGGATCTGCAAAGGGAAGTCAAGGCGGTGGGGTAACGATGGGGGTGGATCTTCAAAGGAAAGTCAAGGCGGTGGGGGTAACGCTGGGGGTGGATCTTCAAAGGGAAGTGAAGGAGGTGGGGGTAACGCTGGGGGTGGAGCTTCAAAGGGAAATGAAGGAAATGGAAGCAATTCTGGGGGTGGATCTGCAAAGGGAAGTCAAGGCGGTGGGGGTAACGATGGGGGTGGATCTTCAAAGGAAAGTCAAGGCGGTGGGGGTAACGCCGGGGGTGGATCTTCAAAGGGAAGTGAAGGAGGTGGGGGTAACGCTGGGGGTGGGGCTTCAAAGGGAAGTGCTGGAGGAGGAGGGACTTCAAGCGGAAGCACGGGAGGAGGATCCTCTACCGGAAGTGGAAGTTCTGGAGGAGGATCGTCTACCGGAAGTGGAAGTTCGGGAGGAGGATCCTCTACCGGAAGTGGAAGTTCGGGAGGGGGATCCTCTACCGGAAGTGGAAGTTCGGGAGGAGGATCGTCTGCCGGAAGTGGAAGTTCAGGAGGAGGATCCTCTACCGGAAGTGGAAGTTCGGGAGGGGGATCCTCTACCGGAAGTGGAAGTTCGGGAGGGGGATCCTCCACCGGAAGTGGAAGTTCGGGAGGAGGATCGTCTACCGGAAGTGGAAGTTCGGGAGGAGGATCCTCTACCGGAAGTGGAAGTAGTGGAGCAGGAGTCGACCTTGGTTTGGGTACTTCTGGCGGAACTGGGTCATCCACCGGTGGAGGATTAGTCGGAGTGGGTGGACCAACCGGTGGGTCTTCTTCCGGAAGTGGGGGTTCATCGTCCGGGTCATCTTCCGGATCCTCCTCTGGTGGGAGCACATCCAGTGGGACTTCTTCCTCAGGGGGCTCCTCTTCCGGCTCAGCTACATCGGGGGGTTCTTCATCCACATCCAGCGGTGGCGGAAAAGCCGGTGGTGGCGGCGGCAATGGAGGCGTGAAAGCCGGCGGTGGAGGCGGGAAAGCCGGCGGTGGAGGCGGAAAAGCCAACGGTGTAGGCGGAAAAGCCAACGGTGGAGGCGGAAATGCGGGCGGTAGAGGAGGGAAAGTCGGCGGTGCCAAGAGAAAAAATCAAGCCAGTAATAAATCCGGCATCAAACAATCCGGTGGCTCCGCCGCCTCCCGTCGCCGCTCTGGTCGCCAACGCTCCGCCTGGAACAATCAGTGGAACATGAAGACCCGCAACCGAAAATCAAAATCTTCCTCCTCTTCCTCGTCCTCCACTACCGGTGGCGGCGGTGGCGCCCGCGGCGGCAAAATGAACCTTGTTAAACGCAACTTTGGCTGGAAACAGTCTAAACTAATGGCCAACGCGGCCCGTAACTCGAAGAAAAAGACTAAATCTCTCGTCGGTGGGGGCGCCCTGGCCGGTCGCGGGTTAAAATGGCGCTTATCCTCCTCCCTCCTTAAAACCGGCGGCTTAAAAAAGAAGGGCGGTAAGGGCAAAAGCCTCTCTCGAACTACCTCCATCGGCGTGGGTCTCACTTCCATGGGCGTCACGAAAGGTTTCCGTCTCAAAAGTACCACCAAACTGTCCCGTTTCACGACTGGAAAAAAAGTTAGGAACAAGAACAAAGCCGTCGGGCTCGCCCCGCTTAATTTGAACCTCAGGAAGAAGAAAATAGTGGCGAAAAAGGGGGTCAAAAAAGGCGCAAAAAATGCTAAACAGACCAAAACCACGGGTTAATCAATTTACATATAGTCAATTTTCACCTCTAAATTTTTAAATGATAAAAAAAGAAGCTTGTCATTCCCACCGGAACTGATTTTCGTATTCTTGTCATCTCATCTCATCGGAAAGCACGTGACTCACAATTTGCATGCAAATTGTGGGTAACATGCTTTCCGATAGTGCACTAATCTAACCGATTTTCGCATTCTTCAGGCATGCCATCATTTAAAAGCATATTCCCCCAAAATGTACACCAATCTGCATTTCAGAAAAAGTCCTCATATGCAATCAGGTAACTCATATGTAATTTGCATACATTTCCCAGAAAAATGTCATTGTTTTTCTCAGAAACGTGTTTAAAATGTGCATACATAATTTTATTGATACATTCATACAGGATAAATCCCAAAATCCCCATATTCGCCAATTCGCCTATTTAAACTGCGCATTTACAACTCAATCAACTCGACGTGTCCATTCTTAAAATTTATTCACAATTTCAACAGCTCTGTAACAAAACATGCGTGAAACTCGGCATATCCATTCTGAAGTTTCGTGCAAAACTCGGTAACAAAAAATACGTGAGTAATACAACCACAAAAAATTCTATACGAGGCAGGACATACAGATGTACATCCATGCATATTTTCCAATAATGGTACATACACAAATGGCACGCTACATACCTGTCCCTACACTCTCAATAATTTTTTGACAAAATTGTTACCGGCGGAGATACTATGCAACTCTACCACGTAACAATATAGTAACAAACTGTCTTCTGAGGGTAAGAAATTGCCTCCGGTATCGGTAATATTTTTATTACCTGAGCGTTGACATTGGGGGTTGAGCAGGATTTAGCCTATGTACATATGCTGTCCTTCGGTGATAAATTATTACCCGAGCGGTAGAATTGCATAGTACCTCCGCCGGTAACAATATCGTCAAAAAATTATTGAGAGTGTAGTAGCCGCGGAAGCCGTGGGGACATTGTCATTGCAGTCTTAGGGGGTTAAGGGCTTACACAAGATGGGGAGATGATGCGGACATCGAACAACCGTGGGGACATTGTCCCCTGTCCCCACTCATGCTTCCGCGGCCTCTGACCATGCAATACTATTTATTTCACCTTTCCTACAAGCAAAACTTCACAAACTTGCGACCTAAATTAACATTATAGGAATTTTGAATCACTAAAAAATCTTAAACCGGCGTTTAAATCATAATAATCTATAATTTGCTTGCATTTTCAATGTTAAACTATAAACAAATTATGCTTCTGAGATTATTCATCATGACAAAACCTTTCATACTGATACCAGATTTTGACGAATACAACCCAAAAAATTGCAATTTTACAAATAATTTCTAAACGCTGATTATCACTTGAACAATATCACTTGGTTCTATACAGATGAGATAAGGAAGGATGTATCTGGTAGTCAATTTAAGTATAAAACAAATTCAAAATCTTAAATTGGCGTTTAAAAATGCAAATCTGGAAGTTTAATTTTTTAAATGCTAAAAGTTTTGTTAACTATTCCGGAAATATTGTGGAAATTTTAGTTGGAAATCAAACCATAAAGAAATTTAAACTTTATAAAAAGGGTATAATCCTTTTCTTGAATTTTATTTATTTCAAATTCTTATACAAATTTTTTTTGGAGAAAAATGTCATTACCTGACATATAATTATAAGAATTTTAAATCAATAAAAAATCTCAAACCGGCGTGTAAGTCAAAATTATTTATAATTTATCTATACATTTACAGTGCTAAGGTTGAAAACAAATTACGCGCCTGGACATATCCGAAATGACAAAATTTTGCATTCTGACACCAAATTTTGATGAAATACTGCTTGTTATATATGCTCGGACTCCTTAAAATGAGGATCTAAATACTTATCCAACTTCATACCTGTTCGCTTTCCTTCATATGACTGATTACGATGGTGAATCATATTGAATGAAAATGAATTTTTTGTCATTTGAATGGAAATGACTGAAAGATTCTGTCATTTCAGATGAATGATTATGAATGAAAAATATTTCATTCATTTCATTTATCACCCTATACTTAATACATGTGGCGACGTAAGAAATGAAGTCCGATGAAGTGAAATGAAATGAATTTGAATCAAAATGATTAAACGTGAATAAAAAACTTCAATCAGAAATCGGGATGACTGACTTTTGAATGAAAACTAAGTTTTTGAACAGGTATATCTGGTTTAAGTTATAATCATCTATAAATTACTGACATTTTCAATGCGTAAACAAAGGCGTAAACAAATTACGCGTCTGGCTGAACATGTCCATCATGACAAAGTTTTATATACTGATACCAAATTTAGATGAAATACATTCTGGGTAAAACTGCAGTTTTGAAAATGATTTAAGTGACTATCACTTCAACTTCAACAGTCCACCCACTACCGACGATATCTAGTAGGCATTTAAACTATGGAACAAATTCAGAATCTGACATCGGCAAACCATGCTTGAAAACCGAATTTTTGTAAATGCTCAAAGTTTTGTTAACTATGCCGGGTATATTGCTTAAGACACAAAATTTAGTTGGAAATCAGAAATCAGACAATAAAGAGATTTTAACTTGATAAAACGGTATTATCTTTTCTTAATTTTTATTCTTCTTGTATCAATTCTTCCGGAAGGAAAATCATCACATCTAAATCACAATTCTAAGAATTTTGAATTAATAAAAAATCTCAAAATGGCGTTTAAGTCAAAACAGTCTGTAATTTGCCTGAAGAAATTTAACTTTAGTTAACAAAATTTTAAAAGTATAAACAAACTTTTTTGGAGCTAATATTTAATGTTTCTCATTGTTGAGATAAGAAATAATTGTTCTGTAATACCTTATTCGAAAGCTTACAATTAATTTTGATTTTTGGTAATTATATTTGCAAACTTTTCAAAATTTGAACCAAAACTAATTTTAAGAACCTGTTTTGCACAGAATCGAACACCGGTTTCTTAAGATCTTACAAAATCCGATTAATCGAAACCCGGTTTCTTAGAATTTTTCAAAATCCGATTAATCGAAAACCGGTTTTACCAAAATTTTAAACACCGAAATACTCGAAAACCCGGTTTTTAAAAAATGTTCGGATCTTAGACGCCTTTGTGTGTGTACTTGAGATCACCAAACCCTGGAAGCACCTATTAGGAAGTAAAATTTGGGAAATAAATTAAAAATCCGCAATCGGCGTTTATACATGCAAATGTGAAGGCTGAATTTTTAAAATGCTAGAAGTCTTCTGAACCATGCCGGGTATATTGTTTGAGATGACAATTTTAGTCGGAAATCAAATCATTAAGAAATTTCAACTTTATAAAAACAGTATTATATTTTTATTGATTTTTATTCTCTCGACAAAATCGACATATTTATATTCATACATGTTCAAAAATTTAGTATGCATTCAAAAGTCACTCGTCCCGATTTCTAACAGAAGATTTTCTTTCAAATTCAGTGATTTTCTTTCAAATTCACTTCACTTCATTCGACTTCATTTCGTACTTCGCCGCATGTATGTATTAAGCATTGGGTGAACAATGAAATGAGTGAAAAATTTGTGATTCATAATCATTTATCTGAAATTACGGAATATTTCAGTTATTTCCATTCAAATGACAGGACATGCATTTTCATCCAATGTCATTCAATATCATAATCAGCCAAATGAATGAAAGCGAACAGGTATATTTATATCAACTTTGGGCTAATGAGAACCACATCTAAAATCATAATTGTAAGGATTTTGAATTAATACGAAATCTCAAACCGGCGTTTGAGTCATACTAAATAATTACTAATTTGCCTGCATTTATTCACAATTCTACACCATAAACAAAATATACAGCTTAACGCATATTTTTGCTGGTACTAAATTTTTATGAAATACGTGCCAAGAAAAATTGCAATTTTCAAAATAACTTCTGAATGTTGGTTTTCCATTTGATACAGAACTTAAATTCAAGGCCTCGTCAACTGGTGGACAGTTAAAGTCGAACAATTGCAAAATGCGAAGTCGGCGTTTAAACCATGCTAATCTGGAGGTCGGATTTTTTTAAATACTTAAACCTCCAGGCACATTGTTTAATAAGATGGAAATTTTATTAAAAATCAAAAGAAATTCCAACTTTATAAAAACTGTACACGCTCAAAAGCCCGGAAGTAATCGTCACCTAACGGTGTGTCATTTCTCGATCGATGTTTTCAATTGATACGCACCATTTGCGTCATGGATTGATCGACACCAATGGTGCGACCAATCAATTCAATAATGGACTTTTTAATTAGCATCAATTGATGCAAAAAACTCGTCAACACACAACGGACAGACGAACAAGAGGAATTCAATAGTTCCCGTGCTACGCATGAGCTTATAATACACCTAGTAAATTAGTTATTAAATTATGCAACAAATGCAAACTCTGAATTCGGCGTTTAAACCACGTTAATCTGAAATGGTATTTGAATTTTTAAAATGCTAAAAGTTTTGTTAACTATGATGGGTATGTTATTTAAGATGAAAATTTTACTCGGAAATTAGGCCATAAAGAAATTTTAACTTCATAAAAACAGGATTAAAATAAAATTTATGTGCTAAAAGGCGAATAGTATCTGACATCATAATTCTAAAATCGCTATAAGCTTTTCAACCGGCGTTTAAGTCATAATAAGTTGCATGCATTTATTTAGAATGGTAAACCATAAACAAATTATGTGTGCATCTGGGCATATCTGTCATGACAAAATTTTGCCTATTCTGACACCACATCTCGAGCAAAATAGTATATTAAAAATAATTTGTTAACCTTGTTAATCATTTGAGAAACAACGTGCCTCTTAAACAGTCAAGTCCTCTGTGAAATTCAAAATCTGAAATCAGCTTTTAACCTGAAATCCGGATTAGTAGTTATCAACACTACCAGATTACACCTTAAACGAGCTCAGTGTGTAATCCGAATCTAGTTGATCATGAT